GATAATGCTGCTGTTTTCTCAATTAAGCTTTCTCTGCCCACTGTAGTTGAGGATGTGACCTGCTCCCAGGTAACAGAGATATAGAAATAGTGGATTATATGTAGGATAAGGAAATCCAGTCTTGGTTCCTAAGTACAGGGAACAGCAGGACTGTGCTAGAAGCTACAGCTTCTTAATTGGTGTTTGCAGCCTAAGAAAGTTGCTTTGTCACAATTTGGGTATTTTTCAGTGAAAACACAGAGCAGTCACCTGTAACTTATTAACCTTTGAAAAAGAATGGAACATTTGCAGTATTAATGAGGAACTCTATCCATTGTGATAAATAGCTGGGAGTAACCGGAGACTCTGGAGTCGCTGAGTGGGTGACAGCTTTTTTTGAGTGACTATTATTTATTCAAGACCACATGCTTCCTCATTTTCAGATGAGGAAAAAATGCCTTTTCTGGAGAAAACATTGGCCAGAAAACTCTCTTCTTTAGCTCTTTCTGCTCTACAACTGACCTGGGTTTGAGGAGGTACCAGGGGAGCACTTTTTTGATACCAGCTAAAGAAAACCGCACGGCTTACTTAGCATTCCCGGGATATTGGGTTCTTCCAGCAGTGTCTGGTTACACCTTGCATGACACCAGCTAGCTGCTCTGGTGCAAGTTGCCTGCGTTACAGCTCACCAATCGCAGGGTTTGTGCTAATGATTGCTGAGGGTGGTGTCTCCTTGCACCACCCCGTTCCTGGCTACCGAAGGGATTGATTGCTGGAGGACTAAGCTGCTTTCAGCCTTTTCTTGGGAAAGCTGTTTTATAAAAAAAGTACTCTTTATTCCTCACCTTCTGGAGGATGAGTAAGCTGCAGCGCAAACTTTCTTTTGCTTCAGGAACAACGATCAGTTGGCTGGAACCAAAGATCTCTCTATCAAACCACTTCAAAAATGGAGCAGCGCAGAGTTTCTCAGCAGAGATAAACAACAAGCCAGCATCTGTCAGAGAGGAGCAGCCCATCTCCGAGCCTGGCCAGCTAACAAGGGTAAGGTAATGTGAAAATCCCATTTCTGTGGGGAGTGGCTCTATGGAATAGTTGTGAATGTTTTCAATCAAATGACCTAAACCCAGCTTAATTAGAATTCTTCTCAGGCCCTTCTCCTCAGTTAGCTATGTGGGAGGGAGAGAGTGCAATTGCAATAAACAACATTTTCTATTGCTTTTTCAATTATTTCTGCTTCTTTCTGTAGCTACTTGTCTACAGGAGGGAGAAAATATTTGGACAGTAATAGAAGGTATATAAATAGGCAGTATTTGCATGCTTTTTGACCTAAAACAACTAGAAACTTAAGTGCAGAGAACCTAATTGGAATTTGACACTTGCAAAATAAGCCCAGGAAAAGCTGTCTTAAGTAGATGAGAAACAAAATGCCGGTTTCCAGCTATTAAGATTATCTGTCTGTCTTCCCAGCTCTTACTGAACCTGTTTTTCTTAATTTGAGCAACTCTCATCACTTGACTTCAGGATGGCTTAATGTATTTGAAACATAGCAGCAGTCTATGTCATTATAAATGTCAAAATTAATTAGAAGTGCAAAATATTGAAATAAAAATAGAGATTATGAAAAGAACTTGTTTTAGCAGCTAAGCTAGAAAACTGTCGTTAGATCTTTTTATACTAGTTGTTCTGGCACAGTTTGAGACCATGTACTTCTGAAAGGTTGTGTGTTGTTGTTTATCTCCACAACAGCATCTTGTTTGACTTTGCTATCTTACTGTAGAGTGCAAGTACTTTTTAGTGGCCATTATTTATAGCCTATTTTTTCTTTTTTAATACATTTGACTAGGTGCCATGAAATGAAGAAGCTGAAGCTTTCGAATAAATCCATGTAAAACTCCTTTCTTCTAGTTATTAAGCAAGTTGAGGGTTCAAGTGCTTTGTATTTGGCTTTGTCTTGTAGCTGGGATGTGTCTAGCCTTATCGTTCCCCTTTGGATATTTATGTTTGCAGAACAGGATAGCATCCATGGCAGGGAGACACCCGTGTGGGGCTGTAGCTTTGATTGTATTGGGGGCTTATGAGGACTCGTGCCCCTGACCTTTCCTCGGTGGTTGCGTGTTGACGGTTTTGCCTGGATCCAATGGCAGCAGGTCCAGAGGCTGCGTTTGGGCTGATCCCTCTTGCTGCCCTCTGGCCGTGTTGGCTGCATCTCCCCCTGCATCTGCCTCCCTCCGGCTCCGTGTGCTGGGAAAAGGTTCTCCTGGGTGCCCAGAAATGCCCTCGCTGCCTGCAGCATTTGCCCGTCTGCTGGCAAGGACGAGGTGGTGCCTGCAACACTAGGGCTGTTTCTGCCACTCTGTCTGGACGCGCTGAGCTAAAAGACACCCAACTTTGTGCTTCTTTTTTTAAATCCAAGTCTCCTTTTGGAGTGTTAAGCACTTGTAAGCGTGTAACTGGGACCTACCGGTCCCTCCTGGTGCAAATGGCAGCTGGGTCATTGCTGCCAGCATGGGAGTAACGTTCCCAGCGTGCAGCCCACGGCAGGGCCGCTGCTGCAGCCGTGGGAGTGACGATACCAGCGGGGTGTCAGCACCAGCCTTGCAGCAGTGCAGGTGGAGAGGGCCCTCGGGGCTGCCGGCCTCTCTCCTTGCTCATGTCCCACCCTTAGATGCCTGTCACCCTTCTGCGGATCAGGAATTTAAGGAGAACACGATACATTTGCTTCTAAGCTTTTTTCTTCTTTTCCCCTGATCTCTGAGAGACAGGCGGAAGTCTTAGCCTGTGTCCTCTACATGAAATCTGCACTGAGTTATTTTAATATCCTCTTAAATTCAGCCGTTGTTTATCTTGGGAGCAGATCCTATTATGTTGATCTCTGCAGAAATTTGTTTGCTATTTTTTTTTCCATACATGGACAATTAAATACAATATGAAGGTGTTTTTGGATATTGTCTGGACAATCACATATTAGATCTGAAGTTTATGGCTCTTATCCCAGGAAGCTGAAGAAATAAATCCAGATGAGGAGCTGGAGGATATCAGTGATGATAAGGAAGATGATCTAGGAGCAGTGGAGGAGCAGCGCAGCATTATCTTGCATCTCTTGTCTCAGCTGAAACTTGGCATGGACTTAACAAGAGTAAGTAACTGAAATATGAGGGTGAGTTGCATTAGAAGTGAAATGCCATTTTAAACTCTACTCCTGTACTGAATTATTGAGTTTCATCTGAAAGTGAGGCCTAGCAACTTCAGCTCCTGAAGTCTGATATTCCAGTTTAATCTGTAGGTCTTACATGAAAAATGTACTAAGGAAGTTGTTCTGCTTTATTGCAAGCGCCCATAGCTATTCTCTCATAATCTTTTTTTCCTACTTTTTTGACTTTGCTATAATGGGCTCTATTTTTTCTGCAGTATACCTTGTTCTTTCCATATTATATTTTCTACTTCCTTCTCACATTTGTGTTTTTCTTCTTCAGTGATCTTTCTCCTTACTAACATTTTCACACATAAACTCGCACCTCCATTTATGCTACTAGAAGTTTTTCTTCTCGTCTTCCCACCACCCACTTTCAGATGTCAATTTGTGCTACCTCTGCCTTGTTCTATTTTCTGGTTTTGCTCATAGCTGTAGGACTAAGGAACAAAGTTTTATAGGAGAGAATTGATTTCACACTCCTGCACAGACCCCCCCCCCAAAAAAAAAAAAAAAAAAAAGAAAAAAGAGGGGGGAGCTTTGAAAAATTAATGCCCAGTTGCATTACAACTTGAGCATCAAATCTGGAAAAACTCAGCTGCTATCAGGTTATGTTTGGTTTGTTCCTGTAAAAACATTTAGTAATAGATATTTTTAAAGAAACATGTGGATAATGTGCAGATAATGATACCGAACCAGGAAATCACTTTTTCAGATTTCTATTTTTTTCCCCATCCTTTTCAGCCGCTAAGGGCACTTGACTGTGGGGCTTGTATGTCTCAGCTCAGAGCAGCCCAGTATGAGCAGCCCTCCTTTCTGTGGGCTGAACTTAAACCTCTGCTGCGTGATCACCTGCCGCTTCGTTTTACTTACTGGAGCTTTGGGGGTTTTCCTTTCCTTCCAGGTGGTTCTTCCCACCTTCATTTTAGAGAAGCGCTCGCTGCTGGAGATGTACGCGGACTTCATGTCGCACCCGGATCTCTTCCTCGCCATCACCAACGGCAGCAGCGCCGAGGAGCGCATGATCCGCTTCGTCGAGTACTATCTCACCTCCTTCCACGAGGGCCGCAAGGGAGCCATCGCCAAGAAGCCCTACAACCCCATCATTGGAGAAACCTTCCACTGCTCTTGGAGGATGCCCAAGAGCGAAGTGGTCACCGATGCCGGCAGTAACTTGCCTGCTCCTTCCTCCTCAGAGCAAGGAACTCTAGCAAAAGATCTGGAAGGCCAAGCAGAGCTGGACTATTATACAGTAAAATTCGTGGCTGAGCAAGTGTCCCATCATCCTCCCGTCTCAGGGTTTTATGCTGAATGCGTAGAGAGAAAGATGTGTGTCAATGCTCACGTCTGGACAAAAAGCAAGTTCTTAGGAATGTCCATAGGAGTGACTATGGTTGGTGAAGGTAAGTGCAAGTTGGTGAGTGTTTTTGTGTGTGTGTTTTCTTTTATTCCTTTTAGAAGATTGAAATATTAGCTTGAAAGAAAATCTGATGTATGCTTGAGGCAGCAAAAATAATGAATGCTGCTTGCTAGTTTTGTTGCAAAGTCTTTTCAGAAAAATGCATTTTCAGACATGTCAGTTGCTATTGTGGCTTTTTATTGTGGCTTTTCAGGTTTTTATTTTAATGTACCTCTCGTTTCCTCTAACCCTTACTATCTGAGAACTTTAATGCATATCTTTCAATGATTTTGTACTTCCATTTTTTTCTGTTTATAAAATAAAGGGGATGCTACAGGCTCTCATTATAAATTGCAAGTTTAATATGAATAAAACCTACACAGGCTTATGTATTGCCAAAAATTCAAAAATTTTCTGGATATATTTCTAATTTGGAAGAAACAAGGCAGTTGTAATTAATTAGTGCAGCTAATTTCTGTGGATGTTTCCAAACCGTTGGGCAAGTTACCTCAAATCACACAACTATTAAATAGAAATGTTATTCTGTTAGAACAGATTATCTTACTCTTTAGGCTTTTCCTTTAACTACAGAAATTAGGCCCCTTAAGTGGAAATACCCTTCTCTATGCCCCGAACTGTAATTTCCCTTTAGTATTAGTATTTTTTGGTTCTGAATGGGAGATGCTTTCTCAGCTTTTCAGTGGTTCTTGTGTGCATTGCCCAGCAACTGGGAACTTCAGATGCTTGAATTATAAGCTAGGCAGCTGGCAAGGGAGATGGAAGATGCATCTTGAAGTTTTGCCTGTGCCAGGTAATTCCTCCTGGCACAGGCTGGGAGGCCTATGTCTCCTCTAGGGCATTTTTTCAGATCAAGAAATGAATCTGAATAAAATGGGAAATCCTGGAAGTGCAGCTTCCAAAACACACGTTGACAGTGTGTGATGGAGGCATGGGCTGATGCTAACAGCAACCAGCTGCCATGCTATGCTTTCTGTAATGCTCAGAGATGGATCCTGGGTGTTTGTATGGATTTCCCCCCCCGCCCCCCTTTTTTTTTTTTTTTTTAAGGAAACAAAACCCCACATTCTAAAATCCAAAGAAAAAAGTTTAATCTTTTTATGAGACTCTCATTGACATTTATTGCAAAAGCCGCTGTGAGGAAAGAGCTTTGTTTGTCTTGGCAGAGAGCTGCAGTAAGGAGGATTGTCTGTTTCCTGCCTT